GGGGGCTGCCCAGCTTAGGCGGGCGGTAGCTGTCCAATGAAGTGCGAAGACTTCTCCCACCGTCGAGAGGAAGCCCCAAGTACCTCGCTCCTACGCCCATCTAGCGGGTTTTTTGACCGGTAAACTGCCCCTCCGTGTTTATTAGCTGGAGTGACCTCCTCGGGGACGGGTGTGGATAGAAAAGGAATCCAAGAGGTACCCAAGCAGCTGGCCTTGAGAGACTAAGCTTTGCCTGGCCTTTACCCGTTGACCTTTCAGGCATGATTGGATCTGTGGCTGAGGAGCCATCCTGTATAGTTCGTAGGGTCATTGAGGCGCGCAAGTCATCACACCACGCCAAGGTGCAGCCTCGTCGTGATGGATTGATGTATTATCAGATGGAATATAGATCTGTACTAATGAGAAAGCGGTATTCGCAACGAACAACAACAGGAGGTAAGTGCAAACAAAATCTAGTTGCTTTTTTTCAGACATCGTAGACATGTCTAAAAGCATCTCGTTGTCGATGTCGATTCTGGTAGGAAGTAAGTCGTGAGGCCGGAGCCCCAATAATTTCATGATATCCCTGTTTTTTCTTCTGCTCGTGACATTTTTAATATCTGATTTTTGCAAAATCATGTATTTATGTTTACTTTTGGATGTTTTTTTACCGGTAACCTATTGTGTTTATCTTTTGACTTCCTCAGGCGCAAAAAAATCGGACCACGTCAAAAATAATCCAGATACCGATGGCCTTAGTTCTACTGTCTATATCTGTCGTGATTGTCCTACCTTTCGAACTTTAACCAAAGAAACGGTTGACGACCACCTATCTGAGGTGCATCATATCCCACTAAAACTGTTTTGCCATCAAACATCCACCGAGATCTCGGAAACAAACTGTCCACCATCGACGGCAGAACCGCTGCAAACACCATCATCCCTAAGGTTGAAATTGTCTGAGTCCGTCTGCGAGACATCATGGTCTAGCAGTTCTCCACCTCCACGTCCTAACTCACCCGTTTCACCTCTGACGAAAGACAATTGTCAACCACGGAAGAAAATTACAATTACTTTGAACGCCTCACCAAATCTGTCTTTGGCATCAGAAACTCCCGTGGAGATAATTCATCAAGTCGTACCGCACCCTGATTTCCGTTCTGCACCAAAGGAGGAAGAAGCAGAAAACGGGGCTGGGAATCATTCGCCTCATATGCATACCTTTATCGATCCAGGCTCAACGTCGTCCACGTTACGTTCCGTTAGTTCATCCCCAGAGGTAAAGAGCACATTCATCTAACCCTCACTGGATTCAGAGATAGATAGATTGATTGATTGATAAATTGATTGAGTGTATGAATTAAATTGAATGATTACTTGTTGCAATTTGCTGTTGCAGTTATTTTGCTGCCATGCTTTCGTGACCAGTGCAATTTTTGTTCTTGCTCTAATACGGTTCTAGCAAAAGTCGTCTGTTCAAGCTTCTTCTGAGCGTCCATTCTACAGTGAGCGGCCTCTTCGCACCAACTCTTCTGAGGAATACCAAGCGCAACATCATGAGACGGAAACTGTCTCATGTCATGTAGGTAAGTAGGTGTTTCAAAATGTGCCAATGTCAGATGTCGAACAACCTTCCGACAACCATGTTTAGTCAATTTAGATGACTTTCCTCGTTACCGACGTGTAAATTTTTGCATGGGCCATTTTTCTTGTCTATGGGCAAAGCTCGCCTGGAAAATTTGCCCTAAAAAAAGTAAGTTAATGTACTTCATGTAAGATCATCGGAGGACCCATCCAAAGCAAATTTATTCCTCAGATGTTCACAACGAGTTAGTCGAAATTAGTACGGGAACAGCCATAATGTCGAAGCCCCCCTTGGAACTGCTAAATAGTAATCTGGAGCTTTTTTTGGATTAATCGGATATGTTTCCTGACACTGAGTGTTTTAAATAACTTCTTCATGTATCAAACAAAACAACAGATGATCCTCATGGTACACGTGTTAAATTATTTGGAAATAACCCACCACCAGCCATGAAAAAGTGTTTAAATAATGGTTTGTAATGGTGATGACCATTTTCTTTTCAAAAAGCTGTATCTTCGGAAGCTGCTGCAACATAATTTCACTAAAATGACACACATTGTGTTATCCTCAAGCTATGGCAGAGTGCATCATTCCGATCAAAAGCAAACCACGCTTGTCGTAGCTTTGGGTTTTTACCCCTTACTCTTTTTTTCTTCAGTAAACTTCGGATTCTGTTGCCATTTGGTGGAGATTAGGTCGCAACGTAAAAGTAAATTTAAACAAAGAGGTCAGAAACATGGATTTGCACAATGTATCCATGTTCATTTCGCTGCATCTGTACGCACGTGCATACTGCAATCAAAGTGATTTCTATCGTCAGTGAGATAATAACTGTGAGATCGCTTATCACAACGGACAACACGACACAACTTTGACTGCAGTATGCACGTGTACAACGAAATGACCACGGATACATTGTGAAAACTCATGTTCCTGACTTCTCTATTCAAATTTGAGACGGGAAAACAGCGTGTTCAGTTTCTAGAAGTAAATTGTTGTTTCGGCTCTTTGACAGGTATTGTAATAAATGGTCCAGATTGTTTTCCACCGATTGAATTCCAAAATGCTCAATGGAATATTGTCAGTATCTTGAAAAACCCTGACAACTGAAGAGAGGCATCTATCCCACTGGTAACGAAATGAAAGATTCACTCCGGCGAACAAGATACACTGAGGACATGTAAAATATCCTTCTGCCAACGAGTCTGGATATTCACCAATTTCCATATCGTCACCGTAAATATGATATTGAAGTGTCTTTAAGGCCGGTAATTTTTTCTCCCACGCCGTGGTAAACGTAGACTTGTCAGCGTTTGTGTTCGATAGTATAGTGATGCATTTAACGGTATAACCAGAAAAATACTAATGCATATTCCAGCTGCAAGAGGTATTCAACCTTAAACCGGCGCTCAAATGTGAAAATATTGTTAAGATTGTTCACTATGAACACGTCGTCACGGTCAAAACTGCCTGTCATTGCTTTCAACAACATCCAAATCAGTTTTATTATGGGAAATACTTAACGGCGGTTGCTTCTTTTGTCCCATAGAGTTTTCCACACAACTGGATCGATTTACGGTTCATAGAAAAACGAGGAATGTCACAAGCGTTCTTTGTTTCGTGTACTGCTACGGATGTCGAAGTACGGATGTCATTCAGCTTGTGCTTGAAAAAACCACTTGTGGACGCAGAAACAACGTAAGGTGGTAAAGAATTCCAAATATTGCACATTCTAAGGGCAAATGACTGGCGCAGGCATTTTAGTCGACAGTTTTGGAGCACTAATTTGGATGAGTGCCCCCTGAAGTAAGTGTAGGATAGCTTTACTGTCGTCCGGTTCAATAGCACGCCTAACCTAACGGGGCCTTATATGGTTCGCCACTCCAAGTCCTGGTGCTTGAGTTAGCGGTTTCCGGGTGGCGTCTAATGTCGGCTCATCATCGTCAGCGTCGTCGTCATCATAAGATTTGCCGCACTAAGACGAGTTAATTTATTCAGTAGCAACAATTCCAGTTTTCTTGGTGTTCTTGCTAATGTTTGCGACAGTTTTCTGGCTTATAGGCAAGACCTCAACATCTTGGATAGCCGGAATTCGTGATTACATCAAATATTATATAATTATATAATAAGGTCGATCCACCGTTTTAACTGACATCCACCATTGGTTTTAAGTAATGAATGTACGAGCGTTGTGGTAAGATATATATATATATATATATATATATAATCATATATAACCATCGATCGACTGGACTAAATGGTGGAACTACTTGTATTTTTGATCATAAATAGATTGTCCGCACTGCTGGAAAACATATTGACCGTTCTTGCGTTGTCTTCGGTCCTAAGAAAGCATCACAATGAGAAATAATGAAACCAGGCTACCGCTTCCTCTTGACTAGATAAATCATTTGGTAACAAGAACTGTTTCTGTTTCCCAATCCGAGTGTGACCCCTAATGATCAGACCTCATTTTCCATTGCGTTTCTGTGTTGGCATCTAGATAAGCCTAAAACCAAAATAAACTATGGATTCTTCCGTGTGTTCCACCCCTTTGTTTCGGTCGTCTGATCGTGTCGTCCCCACACCGCTTTATCATATGTACATATCCAGGGCTCTCGAGGCTTTTTAAATACCTATATAATTTTTTGCCGAGTACGTTACTTTTTATATGCATTGTTCTTATTGAGGAATGAAAAGGATGTTTCATGAAAGTCCGGAATTGTGATATATTTCATTGACATTAGTAGTGAGATGCTATTCAGTTCGGAATGATACCATAGCCACATCAGAATATTTCGATTTGAAGTTGCAATCTGTGTATCGATACTCAAGGGTCTGATGTTTGACGTGAAGCAGCAACCGATCTGTCACCAAACTAGGGAAAGGGAACAATCCGTCGCCGAAGGCGACGTGTGCAAGCTTTCCCACCCCGGTATTTCAAAGAGGGTTAGTAATACGTGATTTTCAGTCGCTCAGTGGATTGTGTACATATTTTATCAGCCACGGAATAGGATTAAATAAACATCCACACAGCATAATATCAAATAACGTCTTAAGTTACGTGACTTGCAGCCTAGTGTGTCAAATGAGCAGCTGCATTCAACGCAGTCATTTCCCCAAACATTGTCTGGGTGACTGCAACAACTTCCATGAGATCATTAGAAGATATTCAAACAGTCGACCCGAATAAGTAAGTGGACAAAAATGTCCAAAAGAGGTGCAAAACAATCAGTGAGATGGTCTGAGAAAAATTTTCCCTTGATCAATGATGGGCGGTGATTTACAGTTAATCTTCTGCTATGCCGCACCCCTCGGGGATTTGAAAAAATGATCGAATTACAGAAGCTACAATGTGGCATGTTAGTCGGTAGTACATATCTTTAAATAATATGAAAAATTCATTGGAATATTTGTAACAAAATAAAAGTGATCGATGCAAATGACATTACTTCTATTTCTTGCTCCCATTATTTATCATCACCGGTTAATTTAAAATAAAATTTGAATGAACAGTAGCACGTAGTCTTTGTGTATGGAAGAAATTTCGGATTTTTATGAAGCCTTCAGCTTCACACTAGACCACTGCATTCGGAATGTGGCTCTTCCAGTTTCAAGTTACCAGTTATCCTGAAACTACTTACCTTTCCTTTGGGGAAGTTTTCTAACTCAGTTAGAAATCCTAAATATTGTCCCATTCAATTGCAATGTAAAGGTTATCACCGATTGTAGTGCGTGGAGTCCACTACGATTTAAGACGGTTTTGACGTCACAAACTTCGGGCACAATTAACGATTCAGACTAGATAATGTGTACGTGATTTAATCTACATTCGCTGGCAAGACCGCATTCAAGAGAAAACACAGTCGAAAACTAGTGAAACGTCTGTTACATTGACTTTTTTCAATACTTCAAGCTCTCATTGTTCGCTATGCAATCTTTCCATCCTTTTTGGTGAAAAATGTGTTCAGTAGTGTCTGCAAACACGTATTCCTTCGTTCGTCCGTTTTGACGTTGTCGGTGTATACTGAAACCGATGGAAACATTCTTCATGACCTGCGTCTGTCGACATCATTGCCGCTGATATCATGACACCAGTGACTTGATACGTGACTCACGGATGGCTCAAAAACAGTAGGGGGACACATTACACCCAGGTTACGATGACCTTTGGTCAGTGACCTGTTCAATTACGTTAGGGATTACCATTCAAGTATTCGCCTAGGCGCGTCAGTGGAGCTGCGGTTCACAACACCCAACTTACCACCTAGATCGCATGTGATTATCATTAGTGCGACAGAATTCATGGCTCAAATAAATTTCATTCCTATCGGTGAGATTACTCCTACAGCCGCAAACATACCAGGCGAATCACTAATTCGGAAACACTGCGGAGCAGAAATTTCAGCTGTCGCTCATTTGTACTTTTACCCGATGAAACGGTGTCAAACGTCAATGGGGGATCACAGCTCACAAGTCCGGTCATATCTTCCTGAAATGTCTGAGTATCCGGTGTGTTGACCTTTCACTGCTCGTGGAAAACAAATCAAAATTATCGATCCTTGCAAGATGAATTTAAAGGACAACGAGAACACACTTGAATGGAGAAAACAGTAGTTTTACGTTGCGCAATTTGCATCCGGATATAATTCACTCACAGATTATATAATATTCATGAGCACAATAACTTGATAAAAATTACCGTTAATAAGTTCATAACTGTCATGGTTTTTATCAAGGCAACGCCAAGGTAACCAATAACTCCTTTTGAAACAAAACAACAGAGTGGCGAACAACCTCATTTTCAGATATTCGTATTCAGGCTAATACGTCTCAATATACATATATCACTACTTGGGAATAAAATTGTCTGGGGAAAACGAAATAAAATCACAGATTACTAGAACCAATTTCATCGTGGGACTGGAAATCGGATTCACCACCATCACATGTTTGTTTGTCCACTCATCCGATCATCGAGATTACTCAGGATGCGTTGTGTGGGAGGTGGACCAGGGAAGATTTAGCGCTTGCACAAATTGTTTTTGGGCACACAGAAGGGTTTGTGCAGACGAATGCCCACCGCTTCTGCTGTAGCCAGCATCCGATAGCGAACCTGCCTCGATAATCGCCCACGAACTTTGTATAGAGGTCGGAAAGCCTCGGACACGCCCACGGTGTGATTCGTTTTAGCCAGGTGTGAAACCACTGCACTGATGAGTGGCTTAATCGGTCCAGTGTTCAGTCACGCGGGATAGTGCTCACGAATCCGTTCGAACAACCGCCTGACCATGCGGCTTCGCTATTGGGACCTTTGGCGTTCCTTTTGAGATTGGAGTAATTCTCACTGGGCGCTAGCAGTCTGGAATAGTTCAGAGTTCGAGTGAAAGATTAGCTGTATGCGAAAATCTGAGACAGTGGCAGAGCACCGTGTTTAAGAAGGGTGCGACTTAAGTTGTCTGGACCAGGTGCGGTGGACACCTTGAGAAAACACATGTATTTATACATCTCACTAGAGGTGATGAAATCAAACGAAGGTTGGATGTTTGGGAAACTGGAATCAGCATAACTGGGGCGTTTGTCGGACGAAGAATGAATAAACGCATTATTCAGTTTTTCTCAATATCGATCGAGGGGCTGGAAATCACTTTCTTCTACCTGCAGAGTAGATTAATTCCACGCCACATAGATATACAGTTCCTCGTCCCAAAAAACTGACTTGCATAAAGGCCGTCCAACCGTCTTATTTCACTCTTGGCCAGGAACGATAATCGTTGCATTTCGGCCCTCCTGCCACATTTAAATGCACGTTCCTTTTCACGGCGAAGACGTTTGAGAAAAGGTGTTGATATTCTGCCATATTGAGGGAACAAAGTTATCACAGGACAGCATGTCAAAAACACAGTTCAACACTTCTGTCAAAAATGTCATACTTGATAAACAGGTTGTGTTTAAAGGAAAACAGTCGGTAGCTACCTTAAGAGACGATCTAAGCAAGGCAATATTTTCTGGGGAAAGATCTCGCTGACGAAACATTGTGTTTTGGTTGAGTAATGGAAAAATGTCCTGAGTGTGAGTAAATCTTAGTTCTGACCAGGATCAGGTTGTGGTCACTGGTGTCTAAGGGGGAGAACTGTTTGATGGAAAAGGTTTCAGCCTGGTTTGTGATTATGTGGTCTAGATGAGAGTTTCCTCTGGTCAGTTCAATAATCAGGTCACTAAGATTTAGACAATAAAGGGTACAGAGGTGCGTGGTTAAAGTCACCAGCTATTAGATGTAAGCCGTCAGCAAGAGATGGGGCAGTAATCGGGAGGAAATTATCACAAAATGTGTCAATTTCTGACAATCTATACTGGGGTGCAATGTATAAGTTAGTGATGGCAATAAAAGAAAAGCGGGAGAATTTGGGGTGACAGACGACAGTCAAGCAATTAACGCCATTCTGGGTATCCTTAAAAAGTACTTAGAAATTGCCGCACCAACTGGTATTGATGTAAGTGATCACACCGCCTCCCAACTTCTTCCTACACCGTTGTCTATCTTGTCTGAAGCAGACGGAATTATCCAGTTGTACCACGGAATCGTCCGCATCCTCATTGAGCCATGATTCCTGAAGACAAAAAACACAAGAGGTGCGAAATTCCTTTCGCTGGAGCAGGTAGGATAAGTCCGGAAGCTTCCCAAACACAGAACGGACATTGTTACTCATAATGGTAGGCACGGTCATCTTACTGGGAATAGTACGACCAAGGGCAGTTTACCAACCGGCACGAATGCGTTTTCCTCGTTTGCAGTATTTGTGCGCTTGACTAGAAACTGGCACTCCAAACTTGGCAGTATGGTTTTTCACAATAACATCCTTAATTTTTAACATGAACTCCTTTATTTATATGGGTAAAACGCGCATATTTAGCAATTTGGGCAGATAAAATCCAGAATGCAACGGCGGCGAGAAATTGTAGCGCAGCCGTTCAAGGGGCGCGTGTTCGAGCACAAAGAAACTCGCCCCCTCCGAGATCTATCATTTGCACATTTTCACAGCATTACTCATGGGCAAAATTCATGTTTCTAAATTAGGGCATATGTTCGGTTTACTCAGTACGGTGGAATTGACAGCGGCCGTGCTCTTAACCGTTGTCAATTTAACCGGTCGTGGAAGGATGTGAATAATCAGATACTTGTATTTTCTATGTGAAATCATAACCACATGGAATCTGTGCATCTTTTTCTTGTGTGCTTTTTTGTCTGTTCTTTGATTTATCATTTGTTTATGCGTTTTCATATCAAATATAAGGTTTTAGTGTGTGCGATGACCGACGACGAGCACCGACCCGCTCTGTTTTCCTTGACACTCGCACAAGCGTATATCATCAGTGTACCCCTACATTAATTCAAATCGCGATGCTTACCGCTATACACTCCTTGGTATCTGTGAAATCTCATAGACAATCCACTAAAGAGTTTGATTGTGTACTCGT